TTCTTTACCAGCTGAGCTACCAGGGAAGCCCAAAACTATATATATATACATATATATATATAAATATATGTATATATATATGTATATATATGTGTGTGTGTGTAGCTATAGATAGTGGCTATATAATTTTATATATAGATAGATAAAATTTGTCCAAGTCTTTCCCAAAACTCAGGACAGGGCATCTCTCCTAAGACAGCAGAGAGGACCTGCATGATGTGGTCTGTGAAGCTGGTCCCCAAGGCAGAGAAACAAGTAGAGCTCCCCTGTCCCCACACATCGTCCCCACATGAAATAATTCTGCTATGGAGCCTGTACAGTAAAATAATGAATCATCTCAGAAAGACTACATATCTAAGTGGACGGGCATACTGAGAGAGAAGACATAAGACTGAGACCAATGGCCCCCATCTAGCCAGGAAGCTGAAGCCAGAAGGGAAGGAAGATAGGCTGTAAAATTTGAGGAGTTCTAGAAGCTTATAAACCTTTCCTAAGGCAGATAAGGAAACAGGCAGCCAATCCACCCTTACTAGAGCCAAAAGTCTTTGTTTAAATGTGTGAAGCTAAATACCCTAAAATCTTTTTTGCTGGTCAATCACATTAAAATTCATCCAAAATTTCCACATATATGGGTTCTAACCTGAGAGCACAAAGAGGAAAATGACCATATTCAGGAAAGAGATTTTACCAAAATTCTACCATTTCTTGTAGCAGAAAGTCATGGGTCCGTTTACTGTAAAGCTAACCTTCCCAAAATCCCATTGCTTTGGAGCAGCACCCTCTGGAGCAGGCAAGCCTGGGGTCCAACATAGAAAGAGGGAACTGCAGGATGCCCGAGGCAGGTGCTGGCTCCCTAGTGAGTCCAGAGAGCAGAGGATTCTCAGGTCTGTCTTGGGGGAGAGCAGTACTGGGTCATGGCAAGGGACACCTGAGGATTTGGGCTCTAGGTCTGGGAAGGTCAAGAGATGGCTCTTCGGAGTCTGGCCTTGTGGAAGGTCAAAGCTCAGTTCAGTTCAGTTCAGCCACTCAGTCGCGTCCGACTCTTCGTGACCCCATGGACTGCAGCACGCCAGGCTTCCCTGTCCATCACCAACTCCCGGGGTCCACTCAGACTCATGTCCATCAAACTCATGATGCCATCCAACCATCTCATCCTCTGGCGTCCCCTTCTCCCCCCACCTTCAATCTTTCGCAGCTTCAGGGTCTTTTCAAATGAGTCAGTTCATTGCATGAGGTGGCCAAAGTAATGGAGTTTCAAAGCTGGGTGATGCCATAAGCAAGCGGCTCCCATCAGGACAGTCTCCCCTTGGATGACAAGGATTAGTCCCCTCGATGCTCCTACTGTATTCCAAGCCCAGGAGGCACCTGCCTCCTACAGCCCTCACAGAGAGCTTATGAGAAATGCTCTTCCCACCCCATCTGTACCAGAGGGAGGATAATAAAACCTCAGCTATCATGGAGAGCAAATGAATTTACTTAAGGACCCCTTCGTCCCCACATGAAATAATTCTGCTATGGAGCCTGTACAGTAAAATAATGAATCATCTCAGAAAGACTACATATCTAAGTGGACGGGCATACTGAGAGAGAAGACATAAGACTGAGACCAATGGCCCCCATCTAGCCAGGAAGCTGAAGCCAGAAGGGAAGGAAGATAGGCTGTAAAATTTGAGGAGTTCTAGAAGCTTATAAACCTCTCCTAAGGCAGATAAGGAAACAGGCAGCCAATCCACCCTTACTAGAGCCAAAAGTCTTTGTTTAAATGTGTGAAGCTAAATACCCTAAAATCTTTTTTGCTGGTCAATCACATTAAAATTCATCCAAAATTTCCACATATATGGGTTCTAACCTGAGAGCACAAAGAGGAAAATGACCATATTCAGGAAAGAGATTTTACCAAAATTCTACCATTTCTTGTAGCAGAAAGTCATGGGTCCGTTTACTGTAAAGCTAACCTTCCCAAAATCCCATTGCTTTGGAGCAGCACCCTCTGGAGCAGGCAAGCCTGGGGTCCAACATAGAAAGAGGGAACTGCAGGATGCCCGAGGCAGGTGCTGGCTCCCTAGTGAGTCCAGAGAGCAGAGGATTCTCAGGTCTGTCTTGGGGGAGAGCAGTACTGGGTCATGGCAAGGGACACCTGAGGATTTGGGCTCTAGGTCTGGGAAGGTCAAGAGATGGCTCTTCGGAGTCTGGCCTTGTGGAAGGTCAAAGCTCAGTTCAGTTCAGTTCAGCCACTCAGTCGCGTCCGACTCTTCGTGACCCCATGGACTGCAGCACGCCAGGCTTCCCTGTCCATCACCAACTCCCGGGGTCCACTCAGACTCATGTCCATCAAACTCATGATGCCATCCAACCATCTCATCCTCTGGCGTCCCCTTCTCCCCCCACCTTCAATCTTTCGCAGCTTCAGGGTCTTTTCAAATGAGTCAGTTCATTGCATGAGGTGGCCAAAGTAATGGAGTTTCAAAGCTGGGTGATGCCATAAGCAAGCGGCTCCCATCAGGACAGTCTCCCCTTGGATGACAAGGATTAGTCCCCTCGATGCTCCTACTGTATTCCAAGCCCAGGAGGCACCTGCCTCCTACAGCCCTCACAGAGAGCTTATGAGAAATGCTCTTCCCACCCCATCTGTACCAGAGGGAGGATAATAAAACCTCAGCTATCATGGAGAGCAAATGAATTTACTTAAGGACCCCGCACAGTTCCTGACCCAGCTCATATGATTTATTCTCTCCACCTGCCAGTCATCAGACTGAATTGTTTCCATCCGCTTCATCCCTTCTGGCCAAGCCTTGGCCCCAGAGGATGTGAAGCCACAGAGCTCCCCACCTGCTGGGGCACTGCAGCTCCCCAGGGGTTCTCTGGGGGTGGCAGCCCCAGGCCTGTCTAGCAGCCCTGTCGATCAGAAAAGAGAGGTAATGTGTAGGCAGGCAAAGAAAGAGAGGGAGAAGAGGGGAGAATGGGTACCTTCTCCCACTTGGCAGTTCAGCCAGGGATCAGCCTTCCCTGGGTCCCAGCCGCCAAGACCCTGGCGCAGCATCTCAGGATGCAGACTGGATCACCAGGTCTTCGAGCTTTGATCTCTCAGGTTCCAAACACTCACCTCCTCCCTAGTCGTCCGCAGATCCCTAAGACTTGCTCTTAACAACCCAGTGTGATGTCATTTGGGCCGCACATGAGGTGACACTCTCCTCTCACACATCCCCACGCTGCCCAGCAGGCCCAGCCACAGCCCAGCTGAACTGTCATCTTCATGGACACACACACTCACATGCAGGGCACACTCACACTCACAACCAGGCACCCACACATTCACACGCTCACAACCACACACTCACAACCACACACTACTCACTTTCACACTCACAACCACACATACACACGTGCCACACACAACCACATACTACACACTCATACAACCATACACTCACAACCACACACCACACACAACCATCACACACACTCATAGCCACAACCACACACCACACACAATCACGAACCACACACAACTACATGCCACACATGCAAACACTCAGAGCCACTCACTCACAACCACAAACCACACACAGTCGCATATCCCACACAACCACATACCGCCCACTCACACATTCACAACCACACACCACACACAATCACATACCACATATCACATACAACATAACACACACAACCACACACTCACAACCACACACCATACAGTCACAACCACACACACATTCACACACCACACACACACACTCCAACATCACACGTAGAACACTCCCATATCACTCCGCTGTCACTCAGGCCCACATCCCAGTCACACACCACTCACGCTCGCACCCCTCAGTGTCACACCCACAGTCTCTCACACACACATTTCACTCATTCACTTATTCCCTCTCCCCCCAAGGCACCCCAGGCCTCAGAGCCCAGCACGTGTCCGAGCCCAGGTGCGGCAGCCTGTGACTGGGAGGAGGCCTCCAAGGAGCGCAGCTGACGGGACAAACTGGACAGTCTCCCGCTCTAACCGGAGCCTCGCAGCCGCCCTCGACAATTTGGTCAGGGGTGGTGGGAGGAAATCACAAGAGCAGCTGCTCGGGGCTGCGGGGGCGCAGAACCCCGCCACCCACACTTCCTTTGCACCTGTTGCGAGTCTCACACTCCACTTCCACTGCGGATGCTGTCGCTTGGGGGCCTGTGACAGACCCGAGGTGTGGGGGCCAGTGGGGGTCTGGAGGACCCTCCCAGAAAGGCGTGGGGACAGTCTGAGTCCCCTGGGCGCCCAGGAGGTCGTCGCGCCTGGAGGTGGGGACACTGGGAAATGAGCTATGGACAGCCTCCAGGGATGAAGCCAGGGAACCCTCTGACCAGCAGCGCCCTCCCAGGCCTCGCATGAGGGACTCTAAAGATACCCACATGGCCATGGCTTCTGCAGGGAGGACCTCAGGGACTCCGTGGAAGGGGGGAAGGCGGGCACCACCCCCACTTCATCCAAAAGAGGACCGAGGCCCGGGCTAGAAAGCGCCGAGCCAGGACCTTCTGACTGGAGCTTCTGACAGCCCGCACTTCTGACTGGAGCCCGAAGTTCCTCCCAGGATGCCTCGCGGCTGAAGCCAGAGCGCCCTCCTGGGCGCGACCTCGGAGCATCCGGGTCCCGAGGGACTGCTCTGCCAGGCGGCTCTGACGTTAGGCGGGCTTGCTGCGTGACCTGTCTACAAGCCGGGGATCATCCAGTCCCATCTTCATTTTCTAGATAAAGAAATGGGGGCTCAAAGGAAGGCAGTGAGTTGCTCAAAATCCACATTTAATATTCCTCCATAGTAGGTCTCCCAAAAGAAAGAAAGAAAGGTGAAAGAAAGGGAAGTCGCTCAGTCGTGTGCAACTCTTTGCGACCCTGTGGACTGTAGCCTACCAGGCTCCTCCGCCCATGGGATTTTTTCAGGCAAAAGTACTGGAGAGGGTTGCCATTTCCTTCTCCAGGGGATCTTCCCGACCTAGGGATCGAACCTGGGTCCCTCACATTGCAAGCAGATGCTTTATCTCTGAGCCACCAGGTCTCCCAAAGCATTTATCAAATGCGTTCAAGGGCTACCACCAGCACCTTCTGACTTCAGGCCCAAGCTTCTGTCCCTACAGCTGTCCTCAGAGGAAGAAAATTGGCAAGAAGGCTCTTTCATGCTGAAGTCAGGCATAAAGTAAATAACTCTGGCTCACATAAACCAGAAAAAGCATGGGAGGACCCGCCAAGGCATAGAAATATGAGGCCTGTTAGTTTCTAACAGTCTTTATTAATAGAAGTTGCCTCGAGGCACTTTGAACCCTGGGGACCCATTCTCACCCAACACAGAATGTTTTCTCAGTTCCTGACTTCCTCTGCGGTTTGCCGGTATTTTCTTTTTCAGTCTAAAACTAGTAAGCAAACAAGATAAGTTGTCATTTCCTCATTTCCAAGCCCCACTCCTCGTGGGGGCCCAGAAATCTCTTTCAAGCATCAGACGGTGCAGGGCTCCTGGGTGAGCAGCAGGCCTCTGTCCCCACTCTTTGGGTGCCCTTGGATGGGACCTTGCTCTGGAAGGAGCCATGGACCTGTGGCTTTGGGCGCTTTACTTCCTTCCAGGTAAGTGCTCTGGAAAAACACCTTTAGACGCCGTACGAGGACTGAATCGGTCACAGTAGGGGAGTGGTTGGGCATCTCCAGCTCTGAAGCTTCTGGATGAATTTAGTTGTAAACTAGTACCTGGGCAGGAAAAGGCTGCAGGCCCTCCCAGCTCCCAGCTAGCAGCCCTCCCTCTTCTCCAGACATGCCTCCTGCCCCTCAGGTGTTGACTCACAGGCTGAAAGTGTCCCCTCTCCCCGGTCTCTCAGCCTGCTAATCTGGGATTTAAAAGCAAGTGCCTCCAACGTTCTCTCTTCTTACCTCTACATTCTTCCTTTGGTTCTCTTATCTCCTGAATTTTCAAATTTCCAATCGAAGACTCCCTGGCCCATTTGGCAGGCCTACTTCCCCAGGTAGCTCAAACGGTAAAGCATCTGCCTGCAGTGCGGTAGATCTGGGTTTGATCCCTGGGTTGGGAAGATCCCCTGGAGAAGGAAATGGCAACCCACTCCAGTATTCTTGCCTGGAGAATCCCGTGGACAGAGGAGCCTGATGGGCTACAGTCCATGGGGTCACAAAGAGTCAGACACGACTGAGTTTCTAACACTTTCAGTTCATTTCCAGAGCTTCATATCTTGATTTACAACCATCTCTTGGGTACCCTGCACTTCCACATCTCATCAAGGTCAAAAATACAACCAGCCTGACATCTAACCTCAGATTTCTCACTGGTCACCACCTAAATCAGCTACTCTGTCTTCACTATCTATGATATCAGCTGCAAAATGCCAAAATAGCTTTTTACCCACCTCTCCCCATTAACCCACAACTAGACTTTGACCCAACTGATGGCCTATTCGTGTAGTTTCTAGATTCACACTTACCAGGATAGGAAGAAATGGCAGCCTCTGCTAGAGACAGAACAGAGGAGTGAAAAGAAAAGGAACAAAGGAACAGCTCTTAACTACCTCTCTACTTTCTGCAACCCGACAGCCTGTGGCTCCAGATCCACCGTACTACTTGCCTCTGATCATAGCATCATCCTTCCCTACAACCTTTCACACCACCTACTGCCAACTGAACCAAACTCCTGAAGTACCAACTCCTTCCTTGGCCTCTGTTTTCACACGCTGAGCTTATCATTCTCCCAAGGACCTTCCTAACCTCCAGCCAGCAAAGCTCCCTGCTGGACTTCCCTCCCACCACGCCCTTGCTCCTGCCGTTCCTTCTGCCAGGAACACCCTTCCCCTCACCTCCACCACTGATGCGGCCCTTCAAGCCCATCTCAACTCCACCTCCTTCTCTACATTTTCCAGAGCCCCTTCTCTTGAACCTCAATATTTTATTGATTCAGTGGTAAGTTTTTTGGGGGTCAGAGTAGTTGTTTATTCATACTTGCTTTCTTTGTGATGGCTGGAGTTTTGAAGAAAGGCAAATGTTTGAGTCAAATGTTGGAAGTCCCTAAAAGCCCAAAGGAATGAAGTTTTAATGAAATAGACTCTGTGACAGGTAGTAGGACATGGGTGAGCACAGTGGATGGTTAACCAAACTTAGGCCTGAGAGGGAAGAGGGATTGGGTGAAAGTGGGAGATGTCTAGAAGTAAAGGGTACCTGAAGTGTAGTCCAGCAGTCTGTCCAGAGCAATATGGCTATTCTTCCAAAGGGTCCTTGCTCTGGGCTTCGTTCTTCTCCACTGGTGCCAGTCCCCATGGGGTGAGGAGTTCAAGACCCGAAACGATGTGCTTACCCCAAGCCCACATCCACACCCCCTCTGCTAGAGCTCAAATTCCCTGTCCAAGTGACTCTGAATCCACCTGCGGCGACTCTGCAACACTACCCTGGGTCTTCTATCGTAGGGTTGTCTCCTGGCCTATAAAGGGGTGGCTTCAGGTGGCTGTTTGGGAAGGAGATGGGATTTATACATGCAAACTGGGTCATCCACCATGCATATGTCAGGACTGCTGTGGAGTGGGCGGGGCTAGGGATGAGAACTGAAGGGAGAGGGGCCAGAAGCTGGAGGCAGAAAACATGGGGCCATTTTCCCCTGCACAGCATGTGTGGGAATGGACATCCCAGGAGTGCGTAAATTTGTCAAGATGTTGGAGAGTCCCGGGGATGGAGGAGCCTGGTGGGCGACAGTCCGTGGAGTTGCAAAGACTCGGACACGATTGAGCAACTTAACAACAGCAACAGTTTATTAGCCTGGTGATTAACTTTAAACTATTCAGACTATGATATTTAGGTCTTATTTGTATTCCTGCCCCAGGTCCTGCAAATATGGGGGTGGCCCTGGTCCCAGAACCCAGTGCATGAGGCACGAACTACAGGCCACGTCACTTGGGGCCCGAGGTGGAGGTCCACAGTAAAGCAAGGCAGTAGGGTAGGATGTAGGCTTTCAAACCGTTTTTACCTTGCTTTATAATAATAAAAATGCACACACTTGATGCTGTGACAGACTACACATACACACACCTAAAACTTACCCTTAATTCTTTAATATGAGGATGACTCTGGGGCTTCAACACTTGGATGGATGTTGATGCTTTTTTCAGAAATAGGAAGAGCTTATAAAGCAACAGGATTTAGAGGAGAAATCAAGAGGTTTTTTTTTTTTTCCCTTGTACCACTGTAAGTGTGAAGTATATCTTAGATGTCTGAGTTAAATCCAAGTGGAGGGACCCAAAAGGCAAGTCTGGAGCTCAGAGGTACAGACAAAGCTGGAGATCCACGCAGTGCTGAGATCTACACAGAGTTGGCACTAAAAGCCATGGGAGTCAATGACCTCTTGGGGGGAGACCCAGGGGAAGAGAGGAGAGGACAGGCCCGGGGCCAGGCCCTGGGGTGGCGCAGAGCTGAGAGAGGAAGGGCCGTGCATAAGGAAGGAGGCAAAGAAGTAAGTGAGGAAGAGAAGGAAGTGAACAGATAAGGAGAAGCAAGGAGATGGCAAAGAACAGCCACTGAGAGAGTGATGTCAGGGAAGCCAAGAAAGAATTTCCAGGCAGCAAGGCTCTATCCCACCAAATACTGCCAAGAGGATGAGAAAAAAAAAAAAAAAAGAAGACAAAGAAGTGACCATCCAATGTGGCAACAAGGAAAGTTTTGGTGACCTTGACTGGCTCAGTATCAGTGGAATATTGGAGACAAAATTCTGACAGATGTAGATGGAAAAGGAACTAGGAGACGTGGGGTTGGATTCAGTGGTTTTGAGAAAGAGAACAGGAGAGGGGTGGTTGCAGCTGAAGGGGAGGGGGAGTGTCGGCTGAGGGTTTTCCAATATGGGCATTATCATCAGGGCATATTCGTGAGCTGTGTTGACGCTGGAAGAGAGGAACCAGCGAGGCAGGCAGAGAAAGGGGGTGATTGCAGGAGAGGACTCAGGGGACGGACTCAGGAGACAGGGGAAAGGACTGGCTTTTGAGAGACAGCAGATGCTCCTTTCACAGCAACTGGACCGAGGCAGACAGCAGGCCTGGACATGCACAAGTCAGTGTGTGCAGAGTGGGAAGCCACTTGGGATGGTTCTCATCTTTTTTTTTTAAGAGCCCTGCTCCATCTAATAAACCTAAAGCTCTCAGGTCAGCTTCCTTCTTCCAGAGATCCTGCTGTGACTGGAGTCGATAGGGTCCTCATCACCTCTCCTGCCTAGAAAATCACCACCATGCAAAATCCAGTCTATTCCCAGAGCACAGCCACAGCCAAGGCCTTGGGGCCTAAACCTTATTTTGTGTTACAAAAACAAGATTTTTTTCCATGTTTCAAACATATGCTGTGCTGTACTTAGTTGTTCAGTCATGTCTGACTCTTTGCAACCCCGTGGACTGTACCCTGCCAGGCTCCTCTGTCCGTGGGGATTCTCCAGGCAAGAATACTGGAGTGGGTTGAGTGGGTTGCCATGCACTCCTCCAGGGGATCTTCCCAACCCAGGGATGGAACTCAGGTCTTCCCCATTGCAGGTGGATTCTTTACCAACTGAGCCAGCAAGGAAGCCCAAGAATACTGGAGTGGGTAGCCCATCCCTTCTCCAGGGGATCCTTCCAACCCAGGAATCAAACCAGGGTCTCCTGCATTGCAGTTGGATTCTTTACCAGCTGAGCTACCAGGGAAGCCCATTTCAAACATATATTTATATCCAATTACATGTTGAGAGTGACTTTTTATACCACATATATCCCTTTCCCCTACCATCACCACTGAAAATCAAATCACTGATTCCAAGATTAATGACACATCACAGTTTCTCTAAACCATCAATATTAAACAGGTTGATACCTTTATATCTACTTCTACTCCTCCCTTTCTTCCCTAGAATCATCTGGAAATGTAATCATGGGGCTCAAAATTGCACAAATTCAAGGGCACCTGGGTCGCTTACCTAAAAATGCAGATTCGTAAGCAGATATACTCAGCCATTCTAAGCAGATATAATCACCTTGCTGAAGGGCAGGACCAGGTCATCTGCATCCTAGCAAGTTCCTCCACAGGAGTCTTATGTACACTGTGCCTAAGTTCCAAACCTGGAGGTTGTATCCATCTTTTTTTCTATTTGGGAAATCTGCTTGTGGTTAGAAGCTATTATGAACTCCAAGGAGAGCAGAATCTGGTCATTTTCACCTTGCCCATGAATGCTTCCCTGGGACCAGGGCTCAGCAAACCCAGCAGCTTTCCTTGTGCTTCATCCATCTGACGTTTGCACACTAAGGATATCCCTGCTGTAACAAAGTGTCATAGATCGAGTGGCTTCCATAATAGACATTTATTTCTCACAGTTCAGGGAACCAGAAGTCCTAGATCAGGGTGCTGGCAGATACGGTTTTTGCGAGGGCCCTCTTCCTGGTTTGCAGAAGGCTGCCATCTCCCTCTGTGCTCCCGTGCTCCTGTGTGAATAGAAATAAGGACACCAACATTTTGAGGGCTGCAGCCCCATAACCTCATCTAACCCTCCCTGCCTCCAAAGGCCCCACTCTTACACAGGAGCTTCAGCACATGAGTTTGGGGCAATACAAACATGCAGTCCATAACGTAGGACCTGGGCAAGCCTGAGGGTGACCCGCAGTGCCCCCCAGGGTGGAGAGAGGCCACTGGACATGTCCGCGCGTCATGACGCCTCTCGGCTCTGCCTTGCTCCACCCATTTTACAGCACCTCACCCTTGAGGAGGCAGCCCTCGTGCCCTTGGCTGAGTTGGTCTGGAAACGTTTGCGTGCTCCCTCTCAGGTGCTGAGCTTTCCACCCAGGTGTGTGTGGTCCCTCTGGACACACAGGGGATTCCCCCAGCCCCTCGGTTGGGTCTTTGTCCTTTGAACGGGTCACAACCTTCCGTTGGCATGTTCCAGTCACAGGGCTGCCTCCCTCGTCTCAGTTTCCAGGGTGTTTAAAGCAGAGGTGGTGATTGGCGCGAGGGCCTTCGCATCAGCTCACACGTGTCTGGCAGCCCCCTCTGCTCCTCGCCAGCTGCACATCCAGATACTAACGAGCTCCCGTGAACGCTCCCCTGCCAGCCCTTCTCTGGCTTCCTGCACCCCGTCTCATGCTCTCACGGTTGTTTCCTCCTCTCTCGGGGTATCCCCATCCTTCCCTCCCCCCAGAATGTCCTCCTCAGCGCATCTAGAAGCCTGCAGCCCCACTTCTTCCCCTGACTCTGCGGAGCGATTCTAAATGTGTGCTCTGCAGATGAATTTCCGGAAGCTTTCGAACATCCCTCCCCTCCCCATGAATGCGCCGTGGCCTCTCTTGTCTCTCAGGCTAGGGCCAATTCTCACTGTCTAGAAGGGTTTCTCCTTCACCCCAGTCCCCCAGCCTCACCCCAACACACACACTCCATCCTCTGAATCATCTTCCCAGAAATATACGGACGCTTGTTGGACCCACTTAGTTGACAATCATAGCCGGCCTTACCCTGTTCTCCAGCTTAGACCCACCTTCTCTCCACCGCGCATAAGCTTACTGATGTCAGGGACTCAGGAACCACACTTTTCACTCCTCCCTGCTCCACACCAGCCCCAAGGCACATACCAGGTGTGCACATGCTCAAACACACTCTCGTGTCCCTCTGTATTCCCTCCTTCGGTGAGAATGACCATCATTCTCTTAGCCCTCCACACCCAATCCTTCAGGCCACAGCTTACACATCCCTTCTGCCAGAAAGCCTTCCTCAAACTCCCCTCCGTGGCAGCCTGGATCAGGCACTCTGCTTGCTGCTTCCAAGGATCCCTGTGTATCCACGCCATGGGATTTGTTACACTTTGCTGTAGTGGCCATCGATTTGTATCACTCAGTAAGTGACTCATCCTGTGAGGGAGAGATGTCAGCTAGCTTGTCACATGAACGTGATTCAGTAGATACCTGTTAATGATTGAATTAAAAAAGCAACTGGAGGGGAAAGAGTTGTTTTGGTTGGATGGATCCAAGCGAAACAAAACTAGACAGAAGAACCTGTTGCAGTGAATTTCACCATGCCTCCTGGCACCACAGTGAAGTCACTCTGGGGACATGTGCTGGTTGGTGGGGGGTTCACCATGGCACCTCCCCTGGAGTGGGGCGGACATTTTTACTAGATTCTCAGGGGGTTGGTTCTGGGTCCATAGAGGTTCGGATCTGATGATAAGCCAGAGGGCTACATGATGTCTTGGGCTGGGGAGAGACTGAGCTTCAGGCGTAGAGCTAGGGACAGACCAAGGAGGTTAACAGGGTTGAGGATGGAAAGAGGCTGTGGGTGCAGCTAGGGCTAGACATCAGGGTTCTCTCAGGCTAGGGCCAATTCTCACTGTCTAGAAGGGTTTCTCCTTCACCCCAGTCCCCCAGCCTCACCCCAACACACACACTCCATCCTCTGAATCATCTTCCCAGAAATATACGGACGCTTGTTGGACCCACTTAGTTGACAATCATAGCCGGCCTTACCCTGTTCTCCAGCTTAGACCCACCTTCTCTCCACCGCGCATAAGCTTACTGATGTCAGGGACTCAGGAACCACGCTTTTCACTCCTCCCTGCTCCACACCAGCCCCAAGGCACATACCAGGTGTGCACACGCTCAAACACACTCTCGTGTCCCTCTGTATTCCCTCCTTCGGTGAGAATGACCATCATTCTCTTAGCCCTCCACACCCAATCCTTCAGGCCACAGCTTACACATCCCTTCTGCCAGAAAGCCTTCCTCAAACTCCCCTCCGTGGCAGCCTGGATCAGGCACTCTGCTTGCTGCTTCCAAGGATCCCTGTGTATCCACGCCATGGGATTTGTTACACTTTGCTGTAGTGGCCATCGATTTGTATCACTCAGTAAGTGACTCATCCTGTGAGGGAGAGATGTCAGCTAGCTTGTCACATGAACGTGATTCAGTAGATACCTGTTAATGATTGAATTAAAAAAGCAACTGGAGGGGAAAGAGTTGTTTTGGTTGGATGGATCCAAGCGAAACAAAACTAGACAGAAGAACCTGTTGCAGTGAATTTCACCATGCCTCCTGGCACCACAGTGAAGTCACTCTGGGGACATGTGCTGGTTGGTGGGGGGTTCACCATGGCACCTCCCCTGGAGTGGGGCGGACATTTTTACTAGATTCTCAGGGGGTTGGTTCTGGGTCCATAGAGGTTCGGATCTGATGATAAGCCAGAGGGCTACATGATGTCTTGGGCTGGGGAGAGACTGAGCTTCAGGCGTAGAGCTAGGGACAGACCAAGGAGGTTAACAGGGTTGAGGATGGAAAGAGGCTGTGGGTGCAGCTAGGGCTAGACATCAGGGGGGCGCAGGGCTGCTCACGGGGATGGAGCGGGGTGCAGGGATGAGTTTGAGGTTGCGCTGGGGCCCAGGTTGGAAACAGGGATGTGTTGGGGACAGGGCTGGGGACGGGGCTTCCTCTCACTAACTCCCACTTCCTGCAGTAGTCGGAGCCCTGAAGGTCCTTCCAGAAGTAAAGATGGAGGGAATGCTCGGAGGGTCAATTACCATCGAGTGCCCACTTCCTGAAACGCATGTGAGGATATACCTGTGCCGGACCATTGGCGAGTCTGGAAGATGCACCACCGTGGTGTCCAGCAGCAAATTTGTCAGGGAGGAATTCAAGCACCGAGTCACCTTGGAGCAGCATCCGGACAGGAATCTGTTCCTGGTGGAAATGACAGAGCTGGCCAAGAGTGACAGTGGGATCTATGCCTGTGGGGTGGGCCTGAACACGGACCAAGGCAAGACCCAGCAGATCACCCTGACTGTTCACAGCGGTAGGTGCCCCATTCGATGGAGGCTCAGGACACCCAGGAAACATTGCCACTTGGGAAGGCTGGGACGAGCATGGGGCCGCAGCAGTCCCCACACCCTAACACTGCTGCCCTACTAGCTAGTCCAGTAGAAATTGGGATCCATGGGGCTGTAACCGCATAGAGTCATTGAACTTCATGATCCACCAGATTCTCTATCCAAGCCATAAGAAAGGAACAGGATCGGTGCGCCCCCAGGGCACCGCGCCCACCCTTCCCGGGTCACGAGCCAAGTGGGGGGTGGGAGTGAAATTGAGAAGAGGCGCTGAGACTGGAGGAAACTGGAAGCAAAAGGACATAAGCAGCCCCATAATTGTCCCATGAGAAATATCAGGGATAAATGTAAAGCAAAGACAATCATTTCTCAAGCCACAGTTGATGGCCAAATTTGTTACTTTATACGATCCTTTCCTTGTCGCTCCAGAATCCCACCTTTCTCCTTTCTTTCTCCACTGACTTCCTCAGACATACATAGTACTCACTCAATAATCTAGGTTCCCAATGCTCTCTGATTCTGCAGAGAATGCCCACTGCGTTAGGGTGAAAGAGTATTTTTTTCCAGGGAAGACCCCAGCCCAGTTACTTTTCTGCTCCTCTCGTGGGCACCACGTCTGCATCCCCTTATTGCTGTCTACCCTGGCTGAGTCAGCCTCAACTCAGGCCAGCAGTCCCTCCCCCGGGCCTCAGGCTGACGCCGGAGACCACCAATGGGCTTCTCTTGCCTTTGGTAGTTTACGAGCCATCCTGGGAAGAAGCACCGACGCCTGAGCCTCCAGCATGGTTTCATAGGTTTCTACAAATGCACATGCCTCCTTGGTTCCAGATGCCTGCACATGCCAGTTCTTTAGAATTCATACCCAAAGGTCAGTTCCCCAAAGCTAGGGCTGGTTGGGGGGGAGAAATTCTATACTATTGTGAAAGTGGATGAGGGGATATGTGTTCAGTTCATACAGTGGTTGGCAGAGCAGAGCTGAGTCTCACGTGTGTATTTCCCTGTCTTGGGAGAGGGACCCTCCTTGAGATCTGCATCCCAAGACTTTCCAACCCATCCCTCAGCCGCTTGGCACTAGTTGCAGTACTTACACATCACCGCCAGGTGGCGCCAAGCATAATGAATAAAGTTACGCTCCATTCACAAAATCTAGCTCTTCTCTGAATGACTAGGAAACCATGACTAGGCAGACGCTTCCCAGCCAGAAGTCCTCCTGCCTTCTGCTCCCCACAGGGCTATCTTCCATTTGATGGCAGACAGTTATTTAGCAGCTCTATTTTGTGACAATAAGATTAATAATAATTATGATACTTCTATACTTCTATCACTTTTCTGTCTTGAATGCATTTTGACATACAATGTTTCCACCATATCCTCACATGTTCCCATTAGTTGAATATTGTTACACAGGAGGACTCTGCTGGCCCTTGAGAGGGGAATAATGTCACTGAGCTCATTATATACCCAAGGTTGTGACTGGCAGGTGTGAAATGGGGGAGAATAGACAAACACATAGATACAAGTCAGGGTGGGAATTGAACTACAATCAAGGTTTCCTCCATGGTTAAGAGAAGGGAAAGCTCTTCTGCCTGGGAAGCCAGGGAAGACTTTCTGTAGAAAATGGAGGTTGAAGCAAATACAGACAGAAGGGACTAAGTGTAGATGGCATATTCAGAAGGCATTTCAGACAATGTGGACTGCAAGAACAAAAGTAGTCTACCTAAAAGGGAAGAATGTGTTCAGGAAAGAAATGGTTGACCCAAGGCTACTAGAGACTAGAGTGTGGATATGGAAGGTCATTTTTTCCTGCTCTGTCCTGCAGTAACCACACCAGCTCAAAGGACCGACTCTCCTCAAGCACACCAGGCCTCCCCCACCCCCTCAGTCACCCACAGCCCCAGAGTTTCCAGGGCATCTTCAGTAGCAACTGCTGAGCCCACCATCTTCCTGCCATCCATCACAACCTCAAAAACCTCAGCTCAGAAGGGGCTGCTCAGACTCCAGACAGCCAGCTACAACCACCAAACCTGGCTTCACAGACAGAGGTAAGATGCCTCCAGCATCCAGGATGACCTAAAACTGGACAAAGGAGACTAGAGTTAGGAGATCACCGACATCTCCCCAAAATGTCTACCAACAGATACCTTTCTTGGCTTTGTCTCTAGAAGTCACTGTGAAAGATAGTATAGCTGTATTTATTATAGCTATACTAGTGTTATAGCTACAACATTAACTCATTGGTCCTATTAACAAGAATACGCTTATCAGTGCTCCAGCAGGAGATCTTGTAGAGATGAGATGAAGATCTTTCAGTCATTCAACATTTATGCAAATCTGTTTTTATGGGGAAGAACTAAATGAATATAAAATTAGCCATTAAACCATCAATAATTTAAAAATTACTTTTGCATGTTTCCTTTTACTTTTTCAATTGGCTACTAGGAAATTTTAAGTTACGTGTGAGGCTGGGACTACATTTCTGTTGGCCTGCTCTCATCTAATGGATGGGGTGCAGCCCAGGAAAGTGCTGCTATCGACCACTAGGGGACAGCATTAGAGCAGATTCCAAAGAAAACCAGTAATACTGGCGAATTATTTTTTGCCAAAACAAATAGAAGGGGCTTCCCAGGTGGCTCAGTGGTAAAGAATTGGCCAGCCAATGTAGGAGACAGGAGATGCAGGTTCTATCCCTGAGTCAGGAAGATTCCCTGGAGTAGAAAATGGGAACCTGCTCCAGCATTCTTGCCTGGAAAATCCCATGGACAGAGGCGCCTGGTAGGCTACAGTCCATGGGGTTGCAAAGAGTCAGACTCAACTGAGCAATTAAGCACACACAAACAAAGGCAAACGTGAGCGAAGAAAGGCATTTCTGACATCATTTGGGTCTTACAATTAGGAAATTGAGCCCATGAGAGCAAAGTGGTTACAAACAGAACCAGGACTTCTGATTCCTAGTCTAGTAAACCATAACAACCTACTAGTGGAGAAGAATTCAGATTAACTCAACCAACATGTCCTTAAATCTGCACTATATGCCAGGCATTGTGCTATGTCCTGAAGATGTAGAAAAGTTTAAAAACAGGCGATATCTAGGTGTTATTTTACTAATACTAGTCTTGATTGTGATAAGTGTTGTAACTGGTATGAACAGAGGAAGTGGTGACACAAAAAAGTTGATTCTAGTTTACCACTACTGGGGAAGAAAATGAGGACTTATGTAATGGACAAGGAAAGTAAGATTTCAACATGTAGAGAAAATGGAGGGAAGAACTTCTAGGCAAAGGGAGCACCATCCTCTCTTCCATAGTTATCAGAAACTAACTCATTAAAAATTTGCAATCATTTTGTGAAGAAACTGAGGTTCAGAGAGCTGGAAGTGGAACTGACTTTTGACTGCTGCTTAGGTCAGCTACATTAAGGTCTTTATAGCCACTATTTTATTTCATCCTTAACTGTTCTGTGAAACAGGTTTTACTGTAACCACTTACTGGGAAATGAGGCTCAGAGAAGTTAGGAAACTGATTCAAGATCACACAGCCAGGAAGCTAAACTTGAACTTTAATCCAGGTTTCCTGCAGGGGGTGGGGGTAGGGGAGGGGGTGAAGTGAGAATTCTCTTATCAAAGGGACAAATCTGTGACCCGCCTTCAAAAGCTGGCCCCTGTGGGGGGGACCTTAAGTCCCCCCACCTTTCTGACCTCACCTTCCGCTCCCTGCTCCTCCCCTCCTCAGAGCCTCCAACCAAGGCCCGGGCGCTGTGTCTGGGATGGAAGACCAAGGTGTCTTCGTCCTGATCCCCACCATCCTGGGTCTCATACTCCTGGCGCTTCTGGGGCTGCTGGTGAAAAGGATCGTTCAAAGACGGAAAGGTGAGTGGGTTAGGCGCAGCAACGGAGCGCCCAGAGCATCCAGCTCCCCAGGGACACTCAGGAGCTTTGGATGAGCACGCTGAGTTTGGGGGGACTTGGGATGCGGCTCGGTGGTCTGGACATGGGGACGGTGGGGAGCACGGCCCGGACCCTGCAGGGAAGGCCAGCCTGTGCCACATCCGAGCGGAGCACCCTCAGGTCAGACGCTGCCAAACAGCGGGGAGGGGGCCGTCTTTAGTTTGCTGTAAGACTGGGCTAGTGCGGGCCTCTGACACCCTCCTTCCTCTTTCTGTCCCTGCGGCTTGGTCGAGAAGCTCTCTCCAGGCGGGTCCGCCGACTGGCCGTGAGGATGCGCACGCTGGACGCCTCCCAGCCGGCCCTGTCCCGGCGGCCGCGCGTGTGCCGGCGGCCGCGCACCCCGAGCAATATCTACAGCGCCTGCCCTTGGCGGCCCCGCGGGGTGGACGCGGCTGGTGAGCCGGCGGGCAGGCGAGAGGAGGGCAGGGCTGGGCGTGCGGGCAGGCAGGTGGGAGAAGGTCGGCTTGTTGGGGCGCGAGAAGGGTCTGGAGGGGTGGGNGGGCGGCACCGCCCCCAGGCCCCGGAGCGCCCGCAGCCTCCGCCCCGCCTCAAATAAGCCCCGCCCCGTCGCAGGTAAGCCCCGCCCCGCCGTGGGTAAGGCCCCCTCCCCCAGCCAGCCGCGGGTAAGCCCCGCCCGCCGCTGATTAGCCCCGCACCGCCGCAGGTAAGCCCCGCCCTTCCCCTGATTGGCAGCGGCAGCTCGAAAGGGCGGCCCCAGATCTGGGCGTGGCCCCGCGCGACAGGTGCGGAGCCTCGTCCCAGCCGCTGCCGGTCCCTGCGTCGGGGACTGAGTACCCGTTTCCTCCTTGGACTGTGCCCGTAGACGACTACCCAGCAACTGTGGTAGAGTTAGTTACCTGGCTTCTGGCCAAGTATTTCTCGTGGGATAAATGGGAGCTTAAGTAGAGGATGCTAGATGACGACTGTACAGATTCGGGAAGGGCTTTCCTGTGTAAGAGATTAAGCTTCCAGTGGGTCTTAAGAGGGTGGAAGTTACCCCGTTTCATCTGAGGAAGTACTTTCTAGTAAGCCCTCTAAGCTGAGAGGATGTTGTTTACTGAAGGCAATTAAGCCTGGCCTAGAGACATAAATGGCCTTCCCTGGTGGTTCAGGTGGTAAAGAATCTGCCTTCAGTGCGGGAGACCTGGGTTCAGTCCCTCAGCTGGGAAGATCCCCTGTAGAAGGGAAAGCCTACCCACTCCAGTATTCTGGCCTGGAGAATTCCATGAACGGTACAGATAAGATTCAACACTCTGTGTGAGAAAGATTCCTCTTGGAATCTAGGTGTGGAGCAGGAAACTCATCTTTTTTTCTCTCTCTCATTGATTCTATTGATGGCCATTGGCAGGTGTGTGAAAAAATGTTAAACTATTCATTCTTCTTTGTCTTCCCCAGTTAAGAAGAGAACATTTTATCTTCTAAAGCATCCACAGTAGCAGAAACATTATTGCTTCCAGAACCAGGAAAACTAAGTGTGGCAAATGTCCCTGATTTAATTAGGGTGTAGGCTAAACTGATGCAGCAAACGCCAAACCCCAGGGCTCACAAAATGGAAGCCTGTTTTCCTCACAAGTGAAGACGGAGCCAGGAGGAGGTGGCCTGAGCCATGGGGTCATCCGGTGCCTCAGATGCCTTCTGCCTGTTGCTCCGCCATCCCCTGGAGTCTCGCCTCATCCGTGGTTGGTGCTCAATCCCTAGCACCATGTGTGCATCCCAGCACATGGGAGGGAGAGAGAGAAAGTTGCTTTTTTAAGACCAGGAGCCTGACATTTCATTTATCAGAGGACCACGGGGCACAGTTTAATCACATGGTCACACCGGCCTTCAAGGGAGGCTCAGAACTGTATCCCTGCGGGTCTTGCTTAAAAGGGGAGAGTGATGCCTGGGAACAGGCAGCAGCTCTGCCCCATCAGGCCCCGTGTTCAGCCCTGCTGGGGGTGGTTCTCAGTGGCGCAGGTAGGCCCAGCAATGCCCGTCAGCTCTACCCTTTGTGGTCCAGTCACTAAGTCACATCTGACTCTGTGTGACCCTATGGACTGCAGCACACCAGTCTTCCCTGTCCTTCACTGTCTCCCGGAGTTGGCGCAAACTCATGTCCACTGAGCCCTTTTCTCTGAAACTGTTCTGTGACCACACATGGCCTCATGTGGGCCTGTACCTTGCTCAAATTTTACCCTTCCTCCCTGCTTGAAATTCACGCTCCTGCTATCAGGGATAGAAAAAATCTTGATGAAACAAGTCCGCAACAAGGTGCCTATGATAAATGACTGAGAGCTGCCACGTCACCCTTCACAGGGAGCAACTTTTTAAAAATGGTTAAGCCAGATCAGTTCAAATGATGAACCATAACAGGCAGTGGGAGATACATTTTTGAAGCAAGCTGCTGCCCATTCCCTCTCTGGTAAAGTACAGAAGGGAACAGCTCCTTTCGGTGAGCGCTTACTCAGTGCCTGCTCTGTGCAGGGGCTGAACTTATGGTTCTCAGTGGTTGTGTTTAAGATATGTGACTGACCCTGCTGCAGCCTTCCTGGGTGGATGTCACAATAGTTATGCCACGTTGGGGTCATGGCATATCCCTGCCCTCTGAGAACTGATCCATCCCAAAGGCAGATGATCCTGAAGTTTCTTTCCGGGGAAGTGGAGCTCCCCACAGCCTGCCACCTTCCTCCCCTTTAACCGCCCACTCCTTCCTGGAATGCACTGTCCCTTCACGTCACAGCCTCTCCAGGGAATGAAAGCCCTATGGAGGTGCAGAAGATGACTCATCCTCCTTCTGAATAATTCCCTGAGAAGATGCATATTTACTCCACAAGTCATATAGTCTAATCCAGAGGGGAAACTCCTCTGGCAGCTGGTTTTCCTTCAGACCCATGCTTAGTCACATGATTTTTGTCTGAGCTCCATTTAAAACACTTCCTGCCATATTAGATCTAAGTGTTTTCCAGTTATGTAGAGCGTGAGGCACCACCCTGAAAATCCCAGGGCTGAGCACCTGATGGAACTCAACCACCTCTGCGTTTTGTCTTCTGGAGGACAGCAACCACATGCACCCCACAACCCCCACCCCACCACTGCCCACTGTGGATACTACAGTCACCCTACCCAAACCCAGTGATGCCTCTTTGGTCGTTCCCAGGTACCTGAAATTCCCTGGCCCCATGTCCCATCTCTGAAGATCGACTGTGAATATGTAAGCTTCTGCCACCAGCCTGCTGCCAAGGGAGAGGACATGGATTCCGATGACTACATCAATGTTCCCTGCCTGACTCACCTCTCCAGCTGTGCCCCTGGGCCCAGACCTTGGTGTCAATGAGTTTTGTCTGTCTGCTGGTTCCCAACACCCACTCCATCTGTTTTCAGAACCCTCATGACCTCCCGCACCCCACCTCAAGTCTCGTCCCTGCCTATTTGCCCTGAGCACGGATCAGTCTCCCCCGCTTCAGCTCTCCTTACTTTTACTTTTGAGCCCCCGGTGGTTTTCAGGTGGCCTCTGGGAATGCAGAGCATTTGCCCTGTTGCCACCTGCCTCCTTTCCGAGCCATGTGACAGACTATGGACTTGCAGAGTCTTTTTGATCATAGGGTCCTTGCTCCCCTGGCTCTAGACCACATGGCCTTGGACTGGAGTGGAGGCATAGCTGTTGCTTTGAAAGCCCTTCTCAACCTTGAGTTCCCCACTAGCAGAAGGTACCTGGACTGCCCTGTGAAGACACACTTCAGCCCTGAGCTAGGAAGGGACCTTGGTATGAAACACCCCTGAGAACCTCTTTGCCCCAGTCTTAGGGCTGGCACTTACTAGTGATCTTCGGAGTCGTATGGTGAGGGCAGGTTATTTGGATGTGATGAAGGGTTGTAAATTTTCAGAACCATCCTTGTTAGTGTTAGTGACATATGTGGATACCCTCTCTAAGTCTTCATCCCTTGATCCATGTAAGAACCCTGACTCCAGCGTTTTCTCTCTCTTAGAAATGGAGTAGCTTTTGTTATCTATTTATCCTTGCTCCATAGCCTAGCACTGAAATGTGTGCATCTATCTTGGCCTTGGTCTATTTGAGCTATCCAAAGCCATTACAGCTCTCTGCTTTCAGAAATGCACGTCCTGTCTGTTCCAGTCCAAGTGGCTTATGGCCAGGTGGGCAAGGACAGTGATCTGGGATTCCTGGAGGGCCCATTGTCCTGCTAGGGCACACGTCATGGAAGAAGAGACAGTGCACATCCTACATGTATTCATCCTCTTAAGTGTTCTGAATGGGGGCAAGTTAGGCAGACACTGTCTCTTTGGATTGAAATCAGAGTTCAACCAGAGCTGGAGATTAGAGGATGAGCAGTCTTGCTTTTAAGGAGAGGGCCTTTCCCAGACACACAACTCAGCCTCACGGGGCACTGGTCCAGTGCTAGGAAGCAAAGGCTCACGAGGTCCCTGCCTTTTGAGCAGGGAGTGTCCTCACAGATGGGACAGTGCGTCCAGGCATGAGGACAGCAGCCGCAGTGTCAGCTTGACACGGGCACCCCCAGGTGGGGGACAATTAAGATGAGTAGGATCAAAAGGAGCACCCGAGGGGCAGGGCTGGTGGGAGTGGGGTGGGAAGGGTGGACAGGAAAGGCGGTGTTGAGGGAGAGTCTCCTCTGTGCTGGACACCCCTCTACGTTATATCTTTTAACATTTGCGTTTCAAACCAGTGCTCTCACCCTCACCCCAGCGCTCTATTCCTGCAGATGTCATGACCATGTGATTTCCATGCCCTTAAGTTCAACTTCATATCCCAACATCCCTCATTGTTCCTCAGCAATTCAGAGACAGGTTTTTAAAAATCCAATTTATTAAGCATTTCCTGAGCACCCATCCACTACCCCACACAGTGGCGAGGATTGTGGGGGATAACAGAGGAACGTGGTCACTGTCGTTGCTGCTTTCACAGAACTTTCAGTCTGACAAATAAATACAGCATCAGTTAAAACGCTGATGGGAATTAAATAGAGTTGTAATAAATATAGGAATCTGCTTTGTAGATTATTCACAGCATCCAAGGGAACCTTCCATGACTGTTGTTGCAGTCACTTAAAGAATGAAGTCGTAAGCTTGGGCGAAGAACAGGACCCATGGTCAAGAGTGTGAAGTGCCCAGAGGACATCACGGGAAAGGACCCTCATCTGAAATGATGCGGAGCAGAAGGAGGGTATCCTGGTCTCAGCCTTCAGAGCTGGTAGAATTTCTCCATCCAGCTCAAGAGAATGTCCATTTCTCCAAAGGCTTTGGTCACAGCTGCTTCTCTGTCCAACTAAAGGGAAAGGAAAGTTGAAGATCTGCCGTATTAGCCACAGGAATAGGTTTCCTTCTGACCCCTGAACCTGGTACGACTGTAGATCATGGGCTGTGAACCCTTTAGGATGGCCTCTGACAAAGTCACCCACCCATCAGCTGTTCTCCGTGTGTGTTGTCTGCTTTGGAGGCGAGGACAGATGGGTTGGTGAGTGGCCGCAGATAAGGAGCAAGGGGAAAGCATTGTGAGTCCCTGACAAGAAGCATTGGAACCCCTGTGCAGGGTGGATTCCATCCACGTGAGATCACTGTGCAGATGAGGAAATTGAGACCTGGGTGGTCCCTTTCCCTTCTATGTTATTGCTCTTCACCATTTGTTTTTAAACTGGTATATCTCTTCCTCAAAAAATGATCAAAATTGGATTGTTTGGGGGAGGGAGCTGGGGATGAAATTGGAATTTGATGAAATTGGAATTTGCTTTGTTGTCTTAATTTAGGAAAAGACAACATAATTCCCATAATTCTTTTTCACAAAGTCGACCCTTTGAGCATGCTGGAAAATACTGCAGATGTGTGTTGGGGTTGGGGATTCTCCCTTCTTTCTCCCTCACTTTTGACTCACCAATTGCCCGCCTCAGGTACCCATAAAGCTGTCACTTTGGAATGTCCTTGCTAGTGACATCATCTTGTAGGGAAATAGAATAGCATTTTAACTTGAAAACTGGCAGAAAAATTGGCCCTGTTGAACCCCTGTGCAGGGTGGATTCCATCCACGTGAGATCACTGTGCAGATGAGGAAATTGAGACCTGGGTGGTCCCTTTCCCTTCTATGTTATTGCTCTTCACCATTTGTTTTTAAACTGGTATATCTCTTCCTCAAAAAATGATCAAAATTGGATTGTTTGGGGGAGGGAGCTGGGGATGAAATTGGAATTTGATGAAATTGGTATTTGCGTTGTTGTCTTAATTTAGGAAAAGACAACATAATTCCCATAATTCTTTTTCACAAAGTCGACCCTTTGAGCATCCTGGAAAATACTGCAGATGTGTGTTGTGGTTGGGGATTCTCCCTTCTTTCTCCCTCACTTTTGACTCACCAACCGCCCGCCTCAGGTACCCATAAAGCTGTCACTTTGGAATGTCCTTGCTAGTGACATCATCTTGTAGGGAAATAGAATAGCATTTTAACTTGAAAACTGGCAGAAAAATTGGCCCTGTTGTTAGCAGTGTTTATGCAAATTTTATGGTAACTAATGCAGCTATAGTATAGCTATGCTCCCGCTAAGTCAGGTGGCTCAGAGGCAAGCTGGGTGGAGTGCCCTACATTGAATTCTACATCAGGTCCCTGAGGCACCCTCGGACGACAGTTCAGGGTAGTCTTCTTCCAGATGGGCAATTGTCAGTTCCCGGCCTTGATTACCTGTTTAAATGCTCGGTGGAACAGCAAAAATCGCCTGCGTGCAGTCTTGCGGGTGGAAAACATCTTTTCCTGCTGGGTAACAGAAAAAGAAAATTGTGCCAAGTGTCAGATAGGAGCAGAGGTGCCTTCTCCCACTCTTTCCTAGTAATGCCAGAGGGACTCCTGAGGCCTAAGAGGGCAGCTCCAAATCTCACATCCCCAAGGCAGCCGATGCTGACCTCCCACTGTGCAGCAGAGACTGCCTCCTTTCATACGGTAGTCTTTCCAGGTACAGGTGATTATCAGCATTTTATAGATAAGAAAACCAAAGCCCAAAGTGATTGACCACTTTGGGGGTTTTAGTTTAGTTTTGTTTTGTTTTTTGGTCTCCCAATTTTTCTCTCAAAGGCATTTCAAATAAATAAAAGATTAATTGTTTGCAAAAAAAGATTGACCACCTTGCAAATGGACACCCAGTCCAGAACCTGTGCCCTGTTCCATGACACCTGCAGCTCCCTGGCATGGAATAAAAGCCAGGGCCAGATAAGAGGAGAGAAAGGAGTCTTCTGAAAGCACAGCGTCTCCTGTGGACCTCCGTCCCAGCTTTGTTCTACTCACACTGGCTTGCAGTTTTGACACGATGACAAAGAAGTTGTTGGCCAGAGTAGAGAATGACTTCAGGATCCCAAATTCAACTGCCTTGTCACGGTAGCTTTTGAAGACAGTGTTCACGTAGAACCTCAGCAGGGCGTGGATGAGGTGGCAGCTCTCAGTCTCCTGGGGGGTGGCGGGGTCATTGCCAAGTCCAGGCCTCTGCCCACTCAGACCCCAGTGGACCACCCACGTGATGCATGCGGCAAGGTAAGCTCAGAGGAGGCCAGGATCCTCTAGGAGATGGGGGTCTTAAAGGGCCTCAGACATCTTTGTTTGACCAGAGGACCCACAGGCCTAGAAAGGAAGGGCTCATCCAGGGTCCCACCACCAGTCAAGTGGCAGGCCCAGGCCTGGCCCCCAGAACCCCCGACTCCCAGGTGGTTAGATTTCTTTCTTCTCCAACCCATGGCCTCTCTAATAGCCCTGGGCAGTGATGGGCCTTGAAAAGCACCACCTCTTGGTTAGCTGAGCTTTGGCAGGGAAAAGATTCAGAAGGAGAAGAAATGAAGAGAAAGAAAACTAGTGTCCATGAACATAGGAATTGCACCCTGGACCCCGAGGTGCCACAGAGGGGAGCTCAGCATCTCTCAGGGATCAGAGCCCGGTGGTTTGTGCTCACTACCTAGATGGGTGAGAAGAAAGTAGGGGCATGGAAGAGCCCTAAGCAGATGGCTCTGGGCCAATGAGAGCAGAAGAGAAATCCAGATTGATGGAGACTCTGGCTAAATGGAGACAGATGTTTACAAGCCTCAGTCCCCACCCTCTCCTCAGGTCCTGTATTCACATACCCTGGATACTGAGGAGACCAGCCCAGGTATTCCTCCTCTGGCTCACCACCCAGCCCTGACCTGTGCAGGCTCAGCATGGGACAGAAGTGAAGTCTTCTATCAGCCTCCCCTGGAGCACCCCTGAGCTTCACCCACAGGAGACCAGCCACCCAGAGGAGACAGCACCCTTCCCCCGCATCTGATTACCGGGACGTTCTGCAGAACCTCTTTCCGCAGCAGCTGGACACTCGTGATGTTATCCTGAGCTTGCTTGGGGAACAGAAAGGACAGATGTCTCCAGGTTGGGGTCAGTATAGAAGCCAACCTTGCAAGTACATGCTGCTTGCCCAGACCCTTCAATCTATCCAGTCTGTGCGACCTCAGAGGCCACAGGGGGGACCCAGGGAGGGCCATGCTGAGCTGGCCCCTGGGGTGGAGGTACAAGGTTCCAGCTCCAGAAAATCTCGAATCCTGGCCTCCCAGGGGCAGATGGAATCCTAGACGTTCTTAGAGCTTTGATGGGGGACTTGTTTGATTCCTTTGGTCACTTGAGGCACCAAGAAATTCGCCCATTTTGTTTAAGAACCACTAGGAGCAGAATGTTCCATCTTCCAAGGAGGGCAGGGGAGGCCGCATCTCGAGGCTTCCCCTGCAGCCCGCCACCTCTTGGGTTTCCAGCCAAAGAATCCTTGAGAGGAGGAGCTTTAAAACTCCTTTGTCCTACCTCCTCATTGTGCAAATAAGGAAACTGACAGGGTGGGAGTTGGGGGAGGCGGCTGTATGGATTGGTTTCAAGGTCAAAGTAACAGAGGTGTCCTGACCTAGTCCAGCACTCTCCTCTCTCCCCAGACTGCCTTGTCAAGCTCCTTCATTCTGCCTTGCATCTGGATTGTCCTTTAAGGAGTAGTGTCAGAGGATGCATTAACCGTTCTTTTCCGACTCAGAATTAAACATTCTTTCAATCTTGAATCAAGACCTCAGCAGGGGGGAACAAACTAGGAGGAGCTGGCGTAGCAATAGGTGAAAACTCTGGTGCGTCTTAGGTAGGCTTACGTAACCCTGGGACAGAGATGAAGCTCAAACGAATCAGGTTTCCTTCTTTATTACTCGTGGGCTGTTTCTTTTCCTATAGACTGGCCACATCTTTCTGAGCCTCAGTTTCCTCAAGAGCAGAAGGAAATGTGGACCCACGATACCTCTGACTTCACTAAGCTCCTAGGTAGGAACATGATTGCTGCTGCTGCTAAGTCACCTCAGTCGTATCCGACTCTGTGCGACCCCACAGACGGCAGCCCACCAGGCTCTGCCATCCCTGGGATTCTCCAGGCAAGAACACTGGAGTGGGTTGCCATTTCCTTCTCCAATGCATGAACGTGAAAAGTGAAAGTGAAGTCGCTCAGTTGTGTCCAACTCCTAGCGACATCATGGACTGCAGCCTCCGTCCATGGGATTTTCCAGGCAAGAGGACTGGAGTGGGGTGCCATTGCCTTCTAGCAAGCTGCAAAGGGCTCCATAATTATCAAATATTTTCCTCTACCCAGAATCACCCCACAACACTGCTGGGTCCAGAACAACACTTCACTCACCACAATGTCCTTCACGGCCCAGAAGGCCTGCCACAGTTTCTGGAGAACTACGCCTTCTACTCGGCAGGGCCCAAACTGGAATTCTTGGCCCTGGACCCATGGCCCCGGGCTGCAGAGAAGCAGCATCAGACTCAGGCAGGGAAGGGCAGCCACGTGCATGGAAGAGCTCATCTGCAGCAAAGAGGGTCCAGGAGGATCCTACGGGGGGACGGGAGCACCCCTGTGAGGGAGGATCCTGCTGGGGGAAGGGAGCACCCCTGTGAGGCAGGCCCTCGGTCCCAGGAGGGGTCCCCCTGGAGTAAGCCTCCTTGGCTCTGCTGCAGCCAGCCTTGGGGACACACAGATGAGAAACCTGAAATCAGGGTGGATTCCTGGTGTTAGAATAATTCAAATGTGTGGCCTTGCCAGGGTGCCCCAGGCGGGGCAATGGTTTTTCAGCACCAAGGGCCTTTCTGCCCCTCAGTCTCACACCCAGGGGCTATCCCGGCCACCTCCTCCCTCACCACGCCCCTCCGCATCTCACACACACACACACACACACACACAGGCCCTGCCCCACCTTCCCTGCTCCATTACAGTCCTCTCTAGCCAACAGCCCACTAGTCAGAATTTGACCAAGAAAAGTGAAGGAACGGGGCGTTATAATGTGCCAAAGAACACATACAAGGATCCCAAACTCAGCAGAACACGTTCGCCTGTCTGAGTTCTGCCCTCAAGTCACGGGACACAGTGGGAAGGTCTTTCTTCCCTCCCCCAGAGAAGGCCACCTCTGACTCTCGTCAGTGTCCAGGGGAGCTGCGGGTTTAATCCTGGCCCACAGGGATGGGCGAGCTGGTAGGCACACTCACTCTGCCACCTCAGCTGACCGACTCACTCTTGAGCTAGGAAGTATCTTTTCAGGTGACTAAACAAGAGGAGGAATCAGATTTCCACATGAATCACCTCTAAAGCCTTCCACTGACTGACTGTGTGAAGAGCCGCAAGCTAGAGACAGGGAACCCCCTTGTCTGTCATAAGTGTGTGCAAAGATTTCTTCTCCCTGACTCCTTGGCCCTTGCTTCTCTTCCTTTCTTCTTTCCTCAGAGCTCGGTCCCTCCCTTTCTTACTCCAGGCCCTGTTCTCACACCTGAGGACGCTCCGTCTTCCACCCCTCAGCTGGGCGGGAAGCCAGGAGAAGGTCTGTCTCCCCAGGGCCTGCCAACGTGCGAGCCGCAGGAGTGGGCCCGGGGCCAGCACGCGTTGTCCCGTCACGCAGCGCTGAGCTCCGGCCTCTCCCTCCGCCACGGGCTCCTCGGCCTCTCTTGCAGATTCACCTGTGGGCCTCGTAATCCTCCTGGCCTTCCTCTCCTCCAGCCTAAACTCTTCCTGATGTTAAACCCAAGAGAGCAGCTCCTCCTCATGGCATGTCTCACCCTTTACATAAACACCGACAAAGGTGGCTTCTGTGTCTCCCCAGCCCCTAGGCCCAGTCGAGCAGCAGTCGGTCTTAGGCTTCAAAGCCAAGTACTCGGGAATCTCCCATCACTCACCTCGGGCCCTGGAAGTGATGCTTGAAGGCTTGCGGTTAGTGGCAGCTGGTTCCTGTCGTAGAGGAAGAAGTTTCGGCAGGCGCCCATGCACCCACACCATGCACCGGCCAGGGTTGTAACGGTGGATGGAAGGCTCTTGTTCCAGCTGCGGAAGTTGTTTCCAAAGTAAGGCGTGCAGGCAAGCCAGGCTTTGTGGAGCTTCATATATACGGGGGCTGTGGGGGAGGGGCGGGGAAGCAGAGGGAGGTGGAGAAAGGGAAGCGGGTCATGCTTTCCCACAGAATGACGTCACTGCTAGTCAACCTTCGCTCTAGACAATGGGGCCATGGGGGAAGCAGCCCCTGGTGCGGTGAGTGCTGGGTCTGGGTTCCAGCTCTGCCATTGGCAGCGAGACGGGGCAGGTCATCTAGCTACCTCGAACCTCAGTTTCTACATTCATAAAATTAAAACACGCAAGCAAGCAAACAAAAGCTCTATCCTATCACCATGGGAGTATCAGTGCCATCAAGAGACCCGTCCTAGAAGGACGCTCAGCCTTCAGGTGTAGGGTGTGGGTGAGGGGCAGACTGAAGCAGTGTTTCCAACGCATTTTCCCCAGAATCTGGTCCTGAGGGATGCTTATCTGCAAGACTCTGTGCACTAAGGATTTCACACCCAGTAAATTAGAGAAGGCTGGCACGTGCTCGCCCCTCTTGGAAACCTCTAGTGCCCTGTAGGAGTCGAAGCCTGGTGTGGGCTTAACACTGCTTAACCCAGTCTTTCCCACAGGTGTTAGACCATGACTCTGGGAAACACAGCCTAAGAAACACTGGACTCTGAATGAGGAACTGGCCAACTACTGGCTGAGAAGAAGCTAAGAACGGCTTAGCCTGGTGACTGAAGATAGTTTTTGTATTTTTTAATGATTGAAAAAAAATTAAAAGAACATACGTTTTGGGACACATGAATGTGGGTAAATTAAAATTTCAATATCCATAAATAAGTTTTTACTGGGGCGCAGTCATGCCCATTTGTTCACATGTGGTTTGCTGCTTCTGTGTTACAAGGATGAGTAGCTGTGACTGAGGCCACGTGGTCCACAAATTCACAAATATTTACTTTTAACATCTGACCCTTCGCAGAGAGGGCTTGCTGAGCCTTGTTCTTAATTACCTTCTTGCGTGAACATTGTAAGAGTTTCTTTAAACCTGGATCCAGGCAAAGTCATGGGAATAGAAGTGTGATGTGAGGGGCAGGATAACTTTCTCTAGGTCTCCTTGGAGAAAAAAGAACAGGGGACATTAGGAGGAGCTGCTGCTGCTGCTGTTTAATCACTAAACTGTGTCTAACTCTTTGCAGCCCCAGGGACTGCAGACCTCCAGGCTCCTCTGTCCGTAGGATTCTCCAGGCAAGAATACTGGAGTGGGTAGCCATTTCCTTCTCCAAGGGATCTTTCCCACCCAGGGATCAAACCCATGTCTTCTGCTTGGCAGGTGGATTCTTTACCACTGAGCGGCCCTCTCCAGTCTCTCCAGTCAGCAGACCCTTAATCTCTCTTCTCTCCATCACAGACTCAGTGCTGTTTGTTTTCTTTAGTAAATCAAATACGTGCTGCAATCCCCAGCCAGCAGGCTGGCCAGCTGCCACTGCTGTATTACGGACCATGCTTGAGGCCTTTGCTCCCAGAAGGCTGAGTCTTGTTCTCTAGTCCTAGACAGGGGCCCACATCACAACCCCCTTTTCCTTTCAGGATCTAGGTCCCTACTAATAATTTCTAACTACCATGAGAAGAAGACACCAAGAGGCTTTGATGAGACAGAGAAGACAAACTAAGAATATTGGGACAATAGATGAGGGGGAGGGCAAACAGGACAGGAGAGTCTAGACAGCCAAAGCTGGAAGCTGAGAGCAAAAGTGAGCCCAAGGGCATCTGCAATCCTAGACAACTGTCTATGGATCCGCAAGAGAGCAGGAGGGATGTGGTGTCAGCAGGACAGGCCGGGACAGAGGCATGAGGTCATGCAGACAGCTAGGCAGGCTCCCAAATAGCCACCTGGGGTCATGAGCAGCTCTCCCCGTCTAAGGGAGGAGTAACGTAACACAGAGATCCCAGGCAAACACGTGCCTGAGTCTCAGGCTTGGCTGAGCTCATCCCCGGGAGGGCATGATTCCCCAGGGAGGACGGGCATGGAGGGAACTCAAGGACCTTGGCCCCAGGTCAACTGGGATCGCTGGTTAGGAGTTGACACCTTGTCTGCAGGCAGCCCTGGGTCCAAACCATCATGAGCCCAGGAGCCCTCTGAGCTTCAGCTTCCTCACCTGTAAAACCGAATCCCCACAGGCCCCAAGGGCAGTGACGGAAAGTCTCGCTGCTCAAAGTGCGGTCTCTGCTCCAGCAGAACAGCAATATCCAGGAGTTCGTTAGAAATGCAAGATCTCGGACCCTTCCCCCAAAACTACTGAACCGGAAAACGCACTTTAAAAACTCCCAAGATGATTCTTAAGTATGTTAAAATTTGAGAAGCGTTTACATAAAACACAGGCAGTATCTGGTATCTTCCCCGTGGTAAATGCTTAACAAACGGGAGCTACAAGTGAAGCAGAAGGAATTAGAGCGATGGTTCTCCACGGGGCAATTTTGACCCCGGGGAATAGCTGACCATGTCTCGAGACATTTCAGGTTGTCATAATAGGGAATGGGGGGTGGGAAGTGGGGTGCTACTCACAGGTAGTGGCACGGGCCAAGGGACGCTGCCAAACACCCTACAGTGTATGGGACGGCCCCTCCCCACCAAGAACCAGCTGACAGCCCCCCTAAATGCCCACAGTGCTGAGGCCCAGAAATCCCGGACTAGGGGAGAGCAGTATCTGCAGGGGAAAGAGCTGACATAGACATAGAGACGCGTCAGAATCGTACCCTTCGGGGGGGAAGGGTTGTGGTGAGAGAAGCAGTGGACTGTTGAGACGGTCAGGAGAGGGGAAGGAAAATAAGGTGGCAGCTCCGCAGACGGGGCCCGAAGGCCCCGGGTGGGAGCAGCGGGCGCGGCCCGGCGCGCTGGCTCACCGCCATCCCCCCCGCAGCCCCCCACTCCCAGGGAAGCTCCACGTCTCAGACTTGGAGAAACTGGAGGAAGTGGGGCTGGTCTCTTAGTCCAGATCCGTGGATTTTCATCCCAACTCCATGCTAGGTGAGACGAAGATCAGAAGCTCTCCTAATATCTCTCATCTCCTTGCTCTCTGGAAACTTGGAAAACTTCCTTCACAATAATACTGGGTGGGAGAAAAGGTCCTCTGTGGATAAACTTTGATTTACATGGCCACTTTCCCCCTAAATACCCTTTATTAGATTGAGGGTGTTTATTCTCTGACTCTCAGGCCACTCCTGTCGCATATGCATGTATGCTTGTCGTGTGTGTCATAGCATGTCTGCAGTCTGAGTTTTCCATTTGAGAATAACTCTACTCCCCACCCCCCTGACATCCCCTACACATTCTCCTAAACCTACAGAAAGAGGACAGGGCTGAACCAGGTTCCTGGGTGAGGCAGTAAAGATCTCACTCTAAACCTGAATATCCCACCTTGTGACTGATGGAAATGCCCTGCAGGAAAGAAGTGATGAGAATATGAAGTAGGGTTTCCTGAGCACCAGAGATAAAGGAAAGTGACATCACCTATTTTCTTCCAGTGAACTGATTTAATCTCCACTCTAAAATAGATTGTTATCTCGCTATTTGGCTGGGAACACGTGCACTGACAGATGTGAGATTTCTCGACTTTTGTCAGTTCTTCTCCCTGTTTCAGCTGCTGTCCTTCTAGGAGTGGAGATGAGAGGTGGGTGTCCACTGGTTGGCCCCCTAGACTGGCACTTTGCCATTCAATCTTATCCTCTATCACTGGTATAATAAATAATTTATTATTACAGGCATTTCAAAGGATAGGAGTGAAAATAAACACACATCAGTCTTACAACTCTACAGCATGCTCAGATGTACAAAATACCTCTAAGTGAAATCTCTCATTTGCTATTCACTATAACAAAAATGTTAGAAGGAGGACAGATATTGTCAACTGTCCTTTGCAGATTAGAAAACTGAGATTTAGAAAGGTCAAATAATTTTCCCTACATCACATAAATAAATGACCAAATCATAACTAGAGTACAGGTCTTCTGGCTCTCAATCAGTATTCTTTCTTCCGTTCCACCCTTCATCAACTTCTCAATCTTGCATGTATTCACACAATTACTGAATAAGCACTTCCTAAGCACCTACTGAGTGTCAGAAAAGGCTATACAAAAATGAATGACTATCATAATGTTTACATAAATGTCCAGAAAAGACAACTTATAGAGACAGAAAATAGAGTACTGGCTGCCTAGGGCTTGGAGTTGGGAATTTGGTGGATGGAAGGAGTTGGGAGTGACTAAAGATGAACACAAAGTTTCTTTGGGGACTGAAGAAAATATTCTAAAATTAGATTATAGTGATGCACTCTGTGAGTATACTAAAACCCACTGAACTGTACACTTTAAGCAGTGAACTCTGTGGTGTGTAAATTATATCTCAATAAAGCTGTTTTTAAAAAAAAATTAAGACTCAGTTATTGTTCTCAGTTCTAATGAGTCAATAGAGTGAATACACTTGCAAACAGATAATTGCAACACCAAGTCATGGGAATGTGTTGACACCAGTAACAGAAGGATGCTGTCAACGAAAACATCAGGGTGAGGTCTTGGTAAGATGTATCTTGGATGTTGCTGGAAGGGTTGAGAAGCTTCCTAGTGGAGGTGACATTTGATCTGAGACTTGAAGCCTGAGTAGAAATTTGCCAGCAAAAATAAAGGAGGATGTCTTCTGGAGACCTCTGTGACCTCCACTAATTCTATGGCCATACAACCGCTACAAGGAACCAAGGAGAAGAAGGTTCTAGAAGTTGCTGGAAGAACAAGGATCCTTGATTGCTGTTTTGCTTGATGATTAATGGAAATCCATGGGCAAGAGCAATTTAAATATAGTTATAGGATATGTAAGGGAACCTAAGGTGCTACTGAGCCCCAAGAGCTGTAGACAGGAAGGGAGAAGTAGGGTGAAGGACTTGGGTCTCACTTT